CAGCTGCTCTTCTTACACACGCCCCTCCATCTATCGCACATTGATTGGGAGTGTGTACGACATGCAGACGCAGTAGGCGCGGAAGCACTGCATGGCGCCAGAAGGACGACAGAGGGGATAACATATACTGACCACATATACAAGACGGGGCGCACAAGGCACGAGGCACGACGCACAAGGCAAGACGCACGACGCACGAGGCCACTTCAAGGCAGCGAAAACCCAAAAAAGGAAAAAAAACCCAAAAAAAACCAATGTGGGTTTACTCATGGGCGATGACGGCCACAGCAGACTGTATTCCGCTAGTAACCGTCCGTACTTTACCTGTACTCGCCGTTTTCGTCCCTTCCTCTCGCACGGCATGCGTAGTGGGCTTCACGGTCCATAATGGCTCGCATCGGCAAAGAAACTATTGTGAGACTTGGCTGTCTTCACCAGCGACGCCTTCTTTGGTTGTCAACAACGCCTCCCTTAGAACCGTTCATTCTGCAATGCGGTATCAGACCGCTGTTCCTTAATCGATATCTACCTGCGAAATGTTCAACAGAGCGGACCGTCACGGTAAACGTCCGTGGCCTGAGGAGGGCTGTTTGGTGGCGGTTGGAGGTTTAAAGAAGACCCGCTTTTGTTGTTCAAGGGCCGTTTTAATCTGATTTAATTTGCTATTTGTTTTTAATCACTCGCCTTTGTTGGACGGCAGCGTCCGGACGGGGCGATCGCCCACAAGCTCCACCCCTGACGAGAGCTTCGACAGGTTTCGCCAGGTTGGACAAGGAAAGTGCGTTCCACCCCCATCCTGCAGCCTCTTGCCCTCACGTCGAATGCCGGCAAGAGTCGCTCTTTCTATTTCTTTTGCGAGTCCCCAACGATACTAGTTCTTTTCGCCAAATGAGAGGCAACACCGGCCCAAGTCACATGTTCAATCACACGACGATCTGATTCGACCACGCGCTTTCTGCAATTCCCTCGCTGCTCAGACTAAAATACATCACATTTCATGCTTGTCCTCGCAACTCGTTTTGACTCGTCTAGTCACGACACTCGTTTGACGGACGCGCTCCCCACACGGCAGAGACAGGTCCCCGCCACTCAACGACCCTGGCCGTCTTCAAGGTGGCCCCCCCCCCCCCCCCCCCTTGTTGGATGATGGCGGCTAGAGGCGCCATGTGATTCGCTCGTGGCCGGCGCCGATGCCCTGACACCCTTGCTGGCGGCAGCCAATCTCTAGCTCCAGAGACCCTGTCGCGCCAGCACAACGCAGATCCAGTCGGCGCTAACACTCGTCGAGACTGTTTGGGTTCTGCTTGCATGAAAAGAGATGATGGAGTACGAAATACTCACAAGCAACAACGTGCTCTTTAAGAGCCTAATCGAATAGCAAAACGGAACACCATTTCTACGCTCTGAGACTTCCCACGACCATCGTCGTCACCACAACACCTTGGAACCGAAAGAAAGAAATACCCCCATTATAATGTTAATTTAAGGTAATATTGTTGCATACGGTGGGAGGAAGAGAGGCACAAATGGAGCGATGGGGTGCAAATAATGCAGCGGATGGGGGGCCGTGCATGCAGCACTCACACTCTTGTTCGAACGCGACATCCGAGACTGTATTGCAGAGCTCGGAGTACTACAGAATACGCTGTACTTGCAGCCCATCAGCGCACATTTCTTCCGACGCGTACTTGCAGTTTCGAACAGTATCGAAGAACGAGCAGCAGTTGTTTGCTCCCTTCCCTGTCCCTTTCTGCATCCACAACCACAACGCCTCTCCTCTGTTCCTCTCAGCAATTCCAATCACCGCAGACAAGGGTATCAAGCCAGGGCCAGAGCCAATGAAGCCGGTATCATGTGCCTCCCCCAACTTCCTTGGCCCAATAGGACGAAACCGAAATGAGAGAGCGAAACGAGATCCGAGAATTCCACCATATCTGCTTTCAATACTTTGCCATCTTTGGACGACAGCCACCTCTTCTCTTTGTTGATTATTTTTGAATAATATTATTTTTCCCTCATTCGCCCTAAAGGCTCCCCCCCTGCACCTTCTCTCTGTTCGTCACCCGCCAGTCACGTCTCCGCTTTTTGGTGTCTTTCAGTTTATGCCCTGTAAGATACATCGCTGCTCTCCTCTGCCCTTTTCGCCCTTGCTTCCCTGTCTATCACTCACCATGCGCTGTATTTCACATCATGCACTCGGTCTGTAGCGGGTGTTGCATGAAGAAGAAACCACGAACAAAAATAGTAAAGAAAAGAAACGCAGGCTCGCAGAGTTGCAGACTTGCTGCTGTGCGCCTTCCTTACTTATTTTGTCATTCTGCCGCCGGTTGTCCCTTCCCCTATTTACAATATTGTCTTTGCCAAATCGTCCATGGTACCTTCGGGACATGGCAATTACACAGCACTCTATCAGCCTTTTTGGCACTTATTCTTCCCTATTTTTGTGGCTTTTAGCACGTCCTCCCCCGGGCCGTGTCGTCAATGCTTGGTGATCCTCGCCCAGGAATTACAGGGTCTGGAACTGCTTCTTTGCACGGTTTGCTTTCTTTTTTGACCGTTCACCATTGTCTCCAATGCCCTCTCCAATAAGAAGGCATCTTTCTCGTTGTCTTCAGCAAGGTGTCATCGACCCTGGCTTGCTGTTCGATCCCCGCCGCCGCACCGTTGCCTGCAGGCGGTTGTTTTTGGCTCTTGCATTTCTTCTTAGCCGCTCTTTCTAAATTTGACTCGCTCTGGCCCCGATATGCAAACAAACGCACATGCACTCACACGCCTTACTCCCGCCTCGAGAAAAGAGGAAAGCACGACTTTACGTGCCTTCCTCACCTTGCCCTCGCAACTCTTTCGTTCTTTCCTTCTCGACCTATCTCCCAAGTTCTCCCCTGATCTCCTCCCCTCTCTCCATTCTGTCTTCTCCCCGTCTTCTCTCCTCTCTTTTCCGGCTCCTCATCACCTCCTCTCACGTTTGCATTGCCCTCCTCTACCGGCACTGCATATTCGATCCGGCTGCAGACAAGCGCCGAGCACACCCACTTGGCCGCCGTTCGCATCAAGAGCGGCCATCCAGATTCGCAGTACACAGCCTTCCGTTGCCGCTTTGTATCTTGAGGCGGGTAGTTTGCTTTTGGCCTTGTATCTATTCCTGTCACTGAGGAACTGGATCGCCCGTTTGCCGCTGTCGCCCTCCCTCGTCTATCCTCGTCACCCCCGTCCGCTCGTTGTTCGCTCACACAACGTCATATTAGACGAGTCCTGCAAATATACCCACACGCACAACACACCACGCCCGCGTCTGAACCTGCATCCTTGTACCGTTTTGCTTTGTCCATGCCCAACGGACGTTGCTGCTCTTCTGTTGCACCTTTACCTGTGGCCATCTTTTGCCCTCCCGTCTATGCACACACTCTCTCCTCTCTCTCCCTCCGTGTTCGCACACATCTCCTCTGCTTTCCTCCTCTCTATTCTTCGTCTCCTCACGCGTGTTCTCCCGACTTCCACCCCGTTTGTCCTTATTTCCTCCTTTCTTCTATTTCGAGACCCCTTTTCTTTTCGTCTAAACTTCCTCATCTCTGGCGTTGCGCGCGCCAATTCGAGTTCGGCGCATCTTCTCTCCTTGCCTCCTAAACAAAACACATTGTTTGTCGCTTCCCTTAACGCAACACGTCCTCGCCTCACCTCATTGTCAACCTCGTGTCTTTGATTTTGGTGATTTTTGTTCTCTTTCATACTTTTTTCTTGGTCGAAATCTCTCCTTTTGATACCAGATCAACACTTCTCAGAACCTCGACGACAATCAGACAATAAGACTTTACAAACCGCTTGAAACAATCGGCCACGAACACTGCCTTGTTTTAAACCTCGGCCTATTGTCCATCGCATACGACGACCTGGCCGCAGAAAAGGCTTTCCTCGAGAGACCGGGTAGACCGGGCCTCGAAACAAAGGTGCACGAATAAGGAAACACAGGAAACGTTTTGCTACGCGGACGACGCAGTTGTGTATACGGCCCCCCGACCGAGACACCGTCTTCCACTCTGGTGGCTGCGAGCGCCACCTAAAGAAAGCCAGCTTTTTGAATACCCGCAAGGAAAACGACGAAAGACATCGCAACACTCGTACTGCAGCGAGTCTAAATCCATACCGGGTTCGTTCTTTTGTTTCCGTCCTGGCATCCCATCTGTGCCGCGCGTACAGGCGTCTTTTCCTCCTTGTAACGGGACCGCGTCCACCACCAGCCAACCCGTTCCATGTGACGACCGGGGCAACCGGGCCCGACATCGTGTAGCCTCGCCGCTCGTCCTCTTCTGGACTGTTGCGTGTGGATTCCTTGCCATTTTCCTTTCAGTCGTGTATTCTTTCCTCCTCTTCCCGCGTGCCTACACCTACGCACAAGCGCTAGATTCTCCGCTTAGGTACGTTCATATTGCACGTTTTTGCTTTTGCGTCGCAAGTTTTATTTCCGGCGTTTTTTCTTGAAATCATTCCTCGATGTTGTGTGCACTGTGCGACCTTGCCGTCCCTTGTTGTTTTTTATCTCTCACGCTTCCACCTCCGCTTCCACTTTCGCTGCACGTACAACCCGGGCTCGTCGCACATTGTACCCCTTCCGATTGCGCTTCTTGTGCTCCGGTAGAGTTTCGGGTCAACCACGCAAACCCTGCCCGCCTGTTTTATTGTGTCCCCGTCGCCCTTCTCCGGTCGACCTCTCTTTACCGTTTCGACCTCCTCGTCTCCGCCACTCGGCGTATTTGTGCTGAGATTCTTTTTCGCCCTTGCATTTCCTTTTGCTTCGCTCTCTACTCCTTGACGTCTTGCCACCAGTACTCGAGACACGGCTAACCATGATGTGCAGCAGCGGACTTTTGGTTCCCTTCCACATATAACGGCTCATACTTGTTCCATTTGCCATGTCGATGCCGTCACAAAAGCCGAGGCAGCGGTCTGTCACCGAGACCTCCTTAACGTCTCGGGAGCGAATTACCGCGGCCCAAGACTACACCATGCCTCCCACAACCATCAGCGCAATGATGCGACACTTTGACCCGTGCGTCGCCACGGCCGATATGTTCCTTTATGCCCAGGGCAACTCTATTGTTTGCTGCCACCACGATACCCTCACAATCGAGCGCCGGTTTTCGCGGCACCCCGACGAGGTTCTGTTATTGGCGGTCGACAACCAGAGCGAGCGGGGCGCCGGCCGGCTTGTGGTCAGCTACGATGCCAGCCAGAATGCCATTGTTTGGGATATTATGTCTGGCAACGAGGTTGCTCGGTTTGCGTCGTTTAGCAACCTGACAGCCGTGGCATGGATGCGGAACGGCGCTGTTGCCTTTGGTAAGACGTTGGCGCCATTGTTTACTTGAAAAAAGGAGCGGCGCTATGCTAACACTTTACAACTACAGGAAACGACTCGGGCACCATCATTCTCTTCGAGCCCGAGACCTCTGAGCACGTATCCTTCCGCACAATAGACCAAATTGCCGTTACGGCACTGGCGCCGGCCACTGATTGCCGTACATTCGCCATTGGCTACCAGAACGGCTCCATTTTGATTTGCAACCTCCAGCCAAGGTTCACCATCCTCCACAACCTGAACACGTCGCGAGGTCCGTCGCCAATTGTTGGCCTGTCCTGGCATGCATCTTCAACAAGACAGCGGTCGGACATGCTGGCTGTGCAGACCTACGATGGCGACTTACGAGTGTGGAGTGTCTCCAAGTCACACAACGGTGTTGAGCCCGCTAAAGTGGTACGCATCCTGAAGCGAACCGACAACTACTTGCCAGGACCGAACTGGATGAACTGGTCTAAGAACGGTCGCATCATCCAGTTCTCCGAGGGGTCCGTATACATATCCTCCGATATCTGTTAAGCGTAATTGAACAAGTTATTTACTAACCTATTCAGCGAGACACTCTCTTGGGACGTGCGCACAAAGCATGTCACATACGACAGCATCCCGACGTTGGAGAATGTCCGTGGCCTTGCCGTTTACGGACCAGGTGCAAGTCTCTTTACACTGGGTGCCAATAACACTGTACAGCAGTTCGACTTGAATGCGCCGTCTGTGCTGGTGGCCGACGTTCAGCACCCAGCCAACTTGCTTCCGCCCTCTCCGCCAGTATCTGTGGAGGAGCAGGAGAAGGAGGCTGCCGCTGCGGCAGCAGCTGCCGCCGCCGCCGCGTCAAGTGCGATCGAGACGGATAGCTCTGCGGCTGCGACATCTGAATCGGAAATTTCCATCCACTTGGACGGTGGCGTGTCCGAGAGTGACGATGATTACCAGTCACCGCTTGCACGCTTGGTTAACGCAGGACATATCGTTGACGACACGGAGTCGGACATCGCTCGCACTGCTAGCGCCAGCTCGGCTGCCAGCCACATCTCGGAAGATAAGTCGGAAACGAGTAGTAAAACGCCTGGCCGCTATGCAGGCTCGATTCGGTCCAAAGGCATGACGGAGTACACATACATGTCCATTGGCTCGTCTCTCAAGTCATCAATTCATCCCAACAACATGTACCAGCAGCCACACCAGCAGCAGCCACAGCAAAAATCCCACCACAGAGTGCACAATCCCCATCGTCAGTCCGTATCAACGTACAGTACCGCCACAAGCACCACCTTCTCAACGACCAGCAGCCGCACGGGAATGTCGCGCCCATCCCGGCTGCGAAATGAGGTGCCGCAGAGCCCAGACGGCGCCAAGGTGATAGACCTGTTCAAGTTCACCCGCAGTCGCCTGAGTGACGTGCCGTACCGGATGCCACCTGCACTGGCCAGCGGCGTACGCCTGACCAATGACGACCTGCGCCGCCAAATGCTCTACACCATCTTTGGCTGGACAGAGGACATTGGCGATCTCGTGCGCGACGAGATGGATCGTTATCCCACTGGTTCAGCCAACCGCATCCTGCTTGCCAAGTGGCTCGGCGACATTGACCCGGACATCATGAAAACCAGCTCAGAGACAATGACCTCGTCGGACTGGATGCTGCTCGCTCTGAGCGGTATCGGCAGCCAGGCAAGCCAACACAAGCTGGGCCGTGCCTACACGCAACGGTTGCTAGAGAGCGGCGATGTGCATGCGGCTGCCACCATCATGATTGGTATGGGCGACTGCAACGACGCCATCGAGATTTATGCCTCGCACCACAAGTACATGGAGGCGCTGATCGTGGCTGCCCTTTTCTTCCCATCCGTGTGGGAGAGACAGTCGCATCTGATCAAGAAATGGGGCGAGTGGGCCATTAAGAATGGCCGCCGTGAGCTTGCCATTCGATGGTATGTACTATGATCGATCCCCTCCTCCCAGCGTGATTTTCGATTTCATACTTACTAAATGTTTAGCGCCGCTTGTACTGGAAAGGAGTCGTCGGAACCGTGGACGTCGCCATCTGCAGCACAGATCAACTTCCCGTCCATCAACGCGGCGTTGCCGGAGCTGAATAGCCCACCACTATCACCACCGAGCCTAATGCAGCGCGGTCCTCAGCGCAGCATTGCCAAGTCATCTGCGTTGCGGCTAATCACCAACTTTGGCGATGCCAGCAACCAGACGCGGGCACAGATCTTTTCCAACGATGGTGACGGTGCTACCCCGATTGCTGCGGGCGTGACACCCATTGCTGTCTCGGCCATCTCGCCTGGTCTGAACGATACCACAACCGCCTTCCTGCGACCCTCACAGCGTAGTGTCTTCAACACACCCAGTTCGGCCCGGCCTACTGTGGGTGGATTCGGCCGGCAGCGACTGCCGTCCATCGGTGAAGGTCCTCAGGGAGCTCAAGATGCCAACCACCCTCGCAATGTCCTTAAGGGTGTCTCAGACGCTCTGGGTCTGGCAGCACAGCCTACAGAGATCATGGACGCTGCGGCGCACCCGGCTGTCCCTCAAATGATGCAGGTTGACAATGGCAACAACCTGGCAATCGGCATGGCTCTTCCGAGAGCGTCAACATCCAGTCCTCTATACCGCCGCAAGGAACAGCCCCCTCCGTCGCCGTCGCCCGCATCGCTAGCTGCGCTGATGGACGGCCGTCACAGCCGCAACGGACCGCGCGACCGCATCCCTGCCGGAATTGATCTGCAGCTGGCACCGGTGGCGCCAGAGGTCATTATGGACATGACATCACCCGAGCAGACGGGTGCCTCATCCAACCGGTACCGTTGGCCCTCTCGTCGCCGCGGTCCGGCGTCGGTGAGCAGCTCAGTCACGTCCAACTCGAGCATTGCCCACGGTGCGCGCAGTCATCGTTACCGTACAGGTGATGTGCCCAACACGAGCAAGACACTAGATGAGTACATTAACAGTCTCGAGGTGATCAATGCTAAGGCGGCGCGCTCGAGCAGCAAGGACCGTCATCACAGATCACGCGACGTTGGCCGCCAGCGCCTCCCATCTGTTGCCACGCCCTCTGCTTCGTCCGTCTCCACCGTGACGAGCCATTCGCGCGAGCCGTCTACAAATACAGATGTGCGCGAGTGGGTTCAGACGCGCAGCCGTGCCGGTTCCAAGACCGGCGGCAACCGCTCCCCGCGTTCTCCTGTGCCCATGTCGCCTGAAGATCTCATCAGCCTTTCTAGCACACCACGGATGTTTGCCCGCGACGATCCTGCTCTCGATAAAGACATGGGCTCGTTGGCGGCGCAGAAGACGGGTTCGAAGTCGTCGGCTGTGCCACCACCGGTGTCCACGCAGCTTTCTTTGCGCCCATCCTCTAAGTCGCGCCCGTCTAGCCGTGCATCCAGCCGTGGCCGTTCCACGCGCAACCGCAGCCCCGACCGGCAGCCACTGACGCTAGACATTCCTCGTGGTCGGAACTCGAGCCGCACGGCATCTGCTATCCGCTCCCCGTCGTCTCCACTTCCGTTCTCGAACAACGCGGCCCAGTACCAGGATGAAGAGGACGAAGAAGACTACCGAAGAGCCGTCGATGAGCAAGAAAAGTTCCGTAACCGTGACCGCACGTCTCACCGCGGCCGCAGCTCCAGCCAAGGCCGCCGCGATGCCTCGCCTAACTCGGTTCGCGCCCGTGAGCGGTCCCGTAGCCGGCGGCGCCCGACACCCGATGTGGCCACAGCCGCTGCACCGTCCGCCTCGTCACGCAAGGACCGTACCCTCACAGGTCCGCCTCCGGCAAAGTCAGCCATGGCTGTGGCTGCTGGCGGCTTTGACCGCTACCCGGCCTCGCAGCAGTCTCTGGGCGAGGAGCTTGGCAGACGTCGTACGCAGTCGGCCACGGCGAACCGTGGTGATCTACGCCAGCTGAGCAAGGATGAGCGTGCGCAACGCAAGGCTGCCGCCGCACGCGAATTGGAAGAACGTCGCAAGTCGCTTGTCCGGCATCCGAACGCTCCCTCGATCTTGCACCCAAACTACCTGTCTCCGGGCCTGAATCAGAACTTTGGGCAGATCTCGGAGGTGCCGGAGCTGGACTCAGATGTTTACTCGCGCCCCAAAGACCTCCCTATGCGCAGCCAGTCCACCGAGCCCAACGCTAAGCACTCTTCCTCGTCCACTCGGGTCCGCAGCATGTTTGCGCCCCGTGGTCACCAGTCCATTGGCCTGCCCGCGACGCCCAAAGCCATGCGCCTGGTCCTCGAGCCGGGTGCTGGCGCTGGATCGTCCACGCCGCCGAGCGTGCCACCCATCCCGGCAGTCTACGGCCACCAACGCTCGTCAGGTTCGGTTGGCCACTCATCTCCAGAGACCAAGTCGTCGACTAAGAAGCAGGCTGAGGCTACGCCTGCACCGCTCACACTCAGCGCAACCACCTACAACCTCCGATCGGAAGTTCCACTTGCCCCCAAAACGTCAGTTCCGACCAAATCCTCCGAGGACACGCTTACCCTCTTGCCGTCGACTGTGTACCAGCCGCCGTCGCTCAGCCGCGCAGCCATTCCTCGCTCCATGTCTGCACCACCTCAGGAACTGGTCTTCCAAAAGGGGTCTGCGTCGCAGGATTTTGCCGCCTCGCGCAAGGCCAGCCGCGAGAAGAATCCTACGATTCCCGAGTCGAGCAACGACGACGCTGATTTAGCTGGCACCCTGTCACCCAGCGTCTATCGTCGCCCGTCTCTGGACAACTTGCTTCCTCCACCTCCCCCACCCCTACCAGCGCCGCCCATGCTGAAAGAGCTTGCCCATCTGGCCGTCCCGCCGCCACCTCCTCCTGCGCCTCTCCCTTTTGGCTCGAGCCTGAACCAAGCTCCCGTTGTATACGGAGGCCACACCACGGGCACCATTGAAGTGGTGACGGATGACGGCGATATGCAGCCGGTTGTCACGGTCTCGCCGCAAATTGGTGGCAGCGCCCCGTCGCATACCAACCACCCGTCGTTGCCGCCTCCGCCGCCTATGCCGCCCGCACCCCCAGCTGCTCCGGAAACCCTGTCGCCTTCACGCAACGGACACCAGCGCGGCCGCAGCAGCACCGACAACAGCATTGCGGGTCGGATCTCGCGTGCCACCGAACGTATACGGTCTGCAAGCCGTGGAACCAACAATGCGGCCTCTCGTACAAAGTCGCCCGAGATTACCATGGTGCCGTACGAGAGCATTCATATCCCACAGTCGCAGAATACGGGCTATTCGCCGTACGAGAGCGTGCCGCTGCCGAGCAGCTTTGCCGTACGCAATAGCCCACCGCAACAGTACCCGCATGAGATGCAGCAGCTGACGCAGCAACAGCTTGCCCAGCAACAGCTACAGCTGCAGCAGATTGAGGCCCAAAACCAGATGCGTACAGGTCTCCACCAGAGCGAGATGATTTAGGTGCCATTATATCTATCTTTGTCTATCGCTCTCGTTATTCACAACTATTTAACTTTCAATTCTCTCGTGCATGGCTATATGGCGTTTTTGTTCTTTTTCTCCTCTCTTCCTTCACTTCTTCTATGGCAAGCAAATACAACAGTGGTCAGCGATGATCACTGGCGGAGCGTCCCTTTTATTCACAGTTTTATTTATTTTCTTATGAAGTCCCCCTTTTTTATCTATCAGTGCCATTTGCGGTTCCAGCATATCGTTTATATAAATTGTCTTTTTCATTTGATTTGACTTTCCGTCTGCTTTTCTGCGCGCTGTGATGCGTCTGCGGTTTTTGTAATCGCTGGATGCTATGGGAAGAAAAGGATGCAATCAAAGAGAGCCTGTAGGATGAACACGACTAGGCAAGAGGAAGAAAAAAAAGAATGGATCCAATCTTTTGGTGGTGATATTTTACTTTTGTTTTGATCTCTCTTGCTTCTCTTTTACATGGGGCTGCCTCGCGGCACTTTCAAGTTTTCTTCTCTCTGAATCACTCGGGGTTTATTAAGTCAGTTGTTGTTTTGACATTTTAATGAAATTAATGTTTTTGGATTTACAAACGATGGTGAAAGAAAGTGAATAAGTATGAAAAAAAAAAAATCAATTAAAATACGAGCTCGACTCGAATCATCGACGTTACGTTTTTGGTAACGCAACGCACAGTGTTAACACAGTGCAGCCTAGAGACAAAATGCAAAAATAGAAGTTGGCTTCTTCATCTCAAATGCTGCCCCAACCCAATACGATCGTAATCCAGTCCGCCACGCGACGGTGAAGATGCCTCTGCAGAGTGAGTCCTCCCTGAAGTATCATCTCCAATTGCTTAGGGCCACAAGGGGGTTCCAGCATCGTAGGTTTCCCATACGAGTGGGTGGCCACCGCGACGTTCGCACTGGGCGACGCACTGGGTCGAGGCGGATAAAATCCACCTCGGACATGGAACAGCAGGAAATAAGAATAGCAAGGGCCGCCTTCCACTTCGACCATAACAGCCTGTTAAAGTGTGAGTCCGTACAGCAGCTTATATAGCCTACAGCATGCGCCCATCCCCTCCTTTCTACAAAGCGGTCAGGATCGGCAGAATTCGAAATACACCGCAATTGAGCAGCAGCAAGTTTTTTGGTTGGTCGCACCAGTCGACAGCTTGACAGCGTGACAACCGTGGCGAGCCTCTTGAATCATTGCAAGCACAGATCGTCTTGCAATCGACTCCCGGCCGAGGGACACGAGATCCCATATTTCTAGCCGATCCTTTCGAGGAGAAAATGACGAGGTGACACGGGACGGCATTTCCTTTCTTTTGCGTCTTTTGTGTTCCGCCTCGTGTTTCTCAAGTCTCTCCTAGTTGTTTTTCCTTTGCGGCCACACCATCACGACTCCAACTTCGGTCACAGTCACGATCACGAGCCCCCTACGACACATCCCTTCCTTTTCCTTGTCCACTCTTTCGTATCCTTCATACGCGCCATCTTCTCACGGGAATGTTTGGCCCACCACACCTCGAGGTCCGCCGACCATCACCGACCACAGTCGAGTTCGTTGTCACCACACAGCCACGCCGCACAGGATGGACAGGCTGGGCGCTGGCCGCCGCCGTGGTCGGCGTGCGCGTGCTGCTGGCGGCGTCAGCGGGCGTTGCGGTGTGGGCATGGACAAACCAGGACGTGGTGGCCAGCTTGCGGCGCGGCCGCGTTGGCTTGGGGTTGGGCGCAGACATGACCTGGCAAAACCTCGTGTGGCACCTCTTCGTGTCGGCCCACGGCCTCGACGCGCTGCGGGCCATCGCCGCCGCGCCGCCTTGGATGGTGCTGCCGCTGTGTGTGGCCGCGCTCTGGGCCAGCATCGCGCGCGTGCACACGTCTGAATCGCTGCTGGTGCTGCGCGGGCTCGGCATCCAGACGCGGTCCACGGGCGCGACGTACCTGGGCGAGCTTGCGTCGGGGCTTTCGGTGGTGTGGTGGACGCTGACGACACCGTGGACGCTCGTGGCACGCTTCTTCAGCATCTCGACCAACGACCGGGGCGGCGGGGGGGCCACGGTCGCCGACGGCTACTACGGCGAGCCCACGCCGGCAGCAACGCGGTTTATCCCGACTGAAAAGCTGCAGGATCTGCTAGTCAACGAGGCGTTCCGCGGGTTTGAGGTGCGATACTATCTTGTGGCAGTGGTGGCGGGACGGGGCGCAGGCCCGATTGGCGGTGAGCGGCTAGGCGTGCGTGTCAAGAATGTGCGACTGCTAGAAGAGAGCGAGGAGGAGGAGGAGGACAACAACTACGACGAAAAAAAGGATAATCTGAGGGATGGTAACGGCCATGGAAACAGCCGGTACCATAGCAGACAGACCCGCGATGACGGGGACTACGACTCGGACGATTCGGACAACGACAGTGACGGCCCCGGCGGCGGAAGCAGCAGCGAGGAGGACGAGGATCACATTGTCGTAGTGTTCCCGCGACTGCTACCGGGCCTGGACATTGTTCGGACGGTCTGGCGCGAGGCCCGGGCGTGCCTGTACGAGCCTGACGCGAGGGGGTGACGGTGGTTTTGGAGAGCGATTAGACAGGCAGAGCTTGTTATTTCATATTCAATGATACCACTTTGGATTTTCTGTTGTTGTTTTTTTTTCCTTTCCTTTTTTCTTCTTCTTTTTTTGCAAAAGTTTTCATTTTCGCTGTATCACATAAACTATCATGATTGCTCGCTCTGGGCAGACACACGCTTCTCTGCTTCGGCTGCCAATGCCGGGGATGTCCGGCTTGTTGCCTCGGCCTCCTTCATCTCCCGGATGGCTGTCCGCCAGTTGCCCACTTCGCGCATGGCCGCCGAGCTAGCAAAGCCCTTTGTTCGTGCAAACTTGTCGTTTTGCTCCTCGGGCGAGGCGAGGCGTGACCGCTTCATGAGAGGAACGTACACACCGCCCAGCCGCGGGCCACTGCCACCCTCATAGACGTGGCTTTTTTTGGCCGGCGGCGTGGGCAGCTGCGCCTGGCCGGGCACCGGGGTCTTTGTCACCTGATTCAGCAGCTGGTTCGCCAGGATCTCGTCCATCTTGGCATCGTGCCAGCCGCGCCACAGCCCGTCCAGCATCATGCGGCTGTCAGGCGCCTCCTCGGCCACCGTGAACCAGTCCAGGCTGTCGGACCAGTTGCCGGCGTCTGGGTGGTCGATGGCGGCCTCGGGAGCGTCCGCAGGGACAGCCGGCGGGAAGATGCAGTCCCACAGCACCAAGGGACCTTCTTCGGCCATGGCATAGGCTGGGCGACCGGGGTTGGCGGACGCATCGAGGAGTTGCGGGATGACATCGGCAGACTCGCGGCCCTGGCCGACCAAGAACAGGATGGCGACCATGTGGCGGATCTGGTGCCACAAAAAGGCTGAGCCGCGGACGTCAAAGGAGTACACCTTGATGCTGGATGACCCTCCGTAGTAGTCGAGCGATGCGTGCAGGCCGGGCACTTCGACGATGTCGGCGTCAAAAATGCGGCGTGCAAAGTTGGTGATCTGCTTGTTGGGATCGATCTTGCAGAAGTTGCGGAAGTCGTGCAGGCCGACAAAATGCTGGGCGGCCGTGCGCATGGCGTCGATATCTAGCCAGCCATCAGAGGGGCCGCCCTCGGCGGACGACAAGGGCTGCGAGGAGCCAAAGTAGGCTGGCTGTGTGAAGAAGTAGCGGTACCGCCGCTCACGGCACGAGAAGCGCGCCGAAAAGCCGGGCGGCGGGTTCGGGCACCAGGCCAGCACGCGGATGTCGGGCGGCAATAGCCGGTTGAGCACCTTGCCATACTGAATCTCTTCATGCGGGAGTGGCAGGCTGCTCTCCTCGCCGGCGACGGCCCCGGCCTCCGGCCCCGTTGACGTCGCCGCATCCCCTGGTCCTCCTGGTCCTCGTCCTCGTCCTCCTCCCTCGCCGTCCGCCTCTGCCCCATCTTCCTCGCCCCTCTCCACCACCTTGGCCGTCCGCTTCCGGTTGCTGCGAACGCGCAGGGCCACGACCTGACCGAACGCGCTGACGCCCCGGTCTGTGCGGCCGCATTTGCTGTACTCGCAAATGTTAAAGTCCACCTCATGCGCCGCCGCGCCGGGCTCGGGGAAGATCAGGCACGCCTTGACCAGCGCCTTCCACAGCTCCTCCTCAACACTCGGCAGTGCGCCTGACGGCTGGTACTCGAAGCCGCCATACCGTTTACCCAGGTAGGCGATTCGCAGCGCAATATACCGCGTGCCATACCGGCTGGGGTCGATGGTCTTTTTTGGTTTTGGGGTGGTCGAGGGTGCCAGCTGTGATATTGTTGGGCCTCCAGACAGTCCATTCTGCTCGGTCAGCACCGCCTGCTCTTCGAGCTCCTGGATCCGCTGGACCAACGCCTCTTTGGTCCACCGCGTATAGTCGGTCATCCCTTGTGCCTGTTTTCTCTGCTTCCTGAGGAGGGCTTTGCTGGCAAAGGGCCTGGCCCAAGGTTGGCCACGAGCCGCGGTCGGCTGTGAGAGAAGGGGGCTTCCCACGCCTACACCGATCGGCGCCGTTGCCAGATACAGGGAGAGGCGACGTGAACACAGTCCCTGGTTAGGCTGCCGTGCTGTTGCGGCGAGAATAGAGTTGGTGATACCAAAACGAGGTACACCAGATGTCTTCATGCGATGGAGTAGTCCGCCAGGAGGGGAAAAAACAGGCGACGGGTATGCGGTTCCGATTCGACAGTTCTGTACACATGAAGAGACTAGAGGCTTGAGTAGCGTTTGCGGTGCTTCAAGTTCTGCGGACGTTCTGATCGTAAGTCAATATCATCGAGAAAAGTCGTCCCAAGTGAAAATTTAATAGTAGCTTCTGGCAGTTGTACGGTTTCGGCGCTACATCCCGCGCCGCTTCAGCAAAACATACGCTAGCGCCTTATCACCTCGCCTCGAACGCGCGCAACCCCCACTAAATCACCCGAGCAGTAATTAATTAATACATATGCGTTAGTGGCCGGGTGCTGTGCTACAAAAACTAAACTACGCCCATTTCTTGCCCACATGTTCCAACTTCACCTGTATCGGCATGTTGCGTCAATGATAGCCGTTACATAATGGCATTTACACACCACGTCTTCAAATGAAATCGCACAAATAACACAAAATCGAGGACATGGTTTCACAATCAGACACGACCCGTTCTCGCAAAACATACTTTCATTGCGCTGACCGTCATGGATGACCTTCAGCCGGTCTCGATTTTGTTGCTCGGCGACGACAACGTCGGCAAGTCGACCTTTTTATCGTGAGTGTCTAGCCAGCCGGGGGTACGGGTGTGTTGCTGTGCTGCGCTAACAGTGCCAACAGGCGTCTCGCGTTGCTTCGGAACAAAGCTGGCCTGGCTACGTCCGCACAGACAGCAGCACCGCCGCTCCTGCGCGATTCCGACCAGCCGTTTGTCCTCGAGCTCCGCTCGCGCACCGCCGCCTTCCGCCTCGAATTCTCCGACACCGAAAGCCCCGAGAACTGGCGCTGTCTGCAGCCCGACCTCGTCGTCCTCTGCTTCGACATCAGCCACCGGCCCAGCCTGACCAGCCTGCAGACGCACTGGATCGGCGAGGTCCGGACCGTCTTCCCCCACCGCGACCGTCTGCCCATCCTCGTGCTCGGCCTCAAGCGCGATCTGCGCCGCGAGGACGACCCCAGCGGTACCCTGTACCCGCACGAGGCGTACAATCTGAGCCAGCAGCTGCGCGCCGACATGTATCTCGAGTGTTCGGCCGTTTCGGGCGAGCTGATGCCGCAGGTCGTCGACGACATTTGCCGACGGGCTGTCAAGACGGCGTCGCCAGAAGGAGGTCAAAGCGAGGGCGCGTGCGCGGTTATGTAGGCAAGGAGTATGTGGCCTTCCTCTTCCGTCGCCCCCCACCGTTTCACTGAGCATCCTCCATCTCTTCGTCCGGCTCGCCCTCGGCCACCGGGAACTGCCCCAGCACCTGAGCCACGATGTCGAGAATCTCCGACTGCTGCTCTTCCGTCAACCGGCCCTCGACCTCCTCGATGCACGCATGAAGCTGTGCCGGCGTCTGCGGCCGCATGTTGAGGACCATCAACAGCTCGCCCTTGGCCAGGTCGTAGCTGTGCAGTCGCTCCACGACCTTCGTCACGGCCTCGGGGCTGTACGTCACTGGCTGCTGGCTCAGCGGACCCGGCGGCGATCGGAAGTACTGCAGCAGCTTGTATGTATTAGCAGGGAATGCGCGTAGGGACAGAGCAGAGGCATGCACCCACCTCATGAATCAATGTCTCGAGATTGCCGGGCCCGCGGCGCCGGTTCTGCTTCTGCTTGCCCAGACGCTCTTGGCGCTCGGCGAGGAACTGGTATACCTCGTAGTTGCTGAGGAGGGCGTTTTGTGCTTCGAGGATCTTCATCGTGCTCGTGAGCTTTCGAGGTCGTCCGGGTTGGAGGGCTGAGTATGTTCTTGTCCGTTCTCTGTCGTTTCTCTGTCGGGTTTCTGTCGTGTCTCTGTTTTCCTCTTTCGCCGCCTGTAACTTGGGTGGGCGCCGAGCCAGCACGAGCAAAGCTTTTTTAGTAGCGTTTCGAAAGGCACCATTATTCCCACAGGCGCCTTCCGACCCCATCGAAAATTTCACATGGCAAGAGCCCGTAGTCAAAAAACATAGCAGCGGCAGCCACTCCTGACCAATCACCGTCAGATAAAGGCCCCGCATTGCCCCGCAGTCTTTTTTTTTTTTTTTTTTCTGTTATGGCGGAAGGCAGGTACAAAACGCGGCTCTCACAGAGTGGCTCATGGGGAAGGGACGACAAAGGTATGGCCGTTTGCGTCTATATACTCATTCGCAAGAAACAGTTGTCTGCCGCGTGTCAGAGCGCTTTAGGTTTCCATTTATTGGAGTAACTTCAAGGCATAACGAAAGACTTCCAACGGTAGAAAGAAAGAGCGATGGTACAGATGCTGGCATTCCGTATCGCGGCATGTTTTGTCACCGACTTTGCTCCTACCTATTTTGGGATGTAGCTCTCCTGCAGGAAGGTGGTTGCCTCTTTTGCGTTGCGTTGCATCGCAGCACATACCTTCTTGGTTTGACTACTCGCTCCGTTCTCTTGGACTCCGCTCACCTCGTTCCCATTGCTCTTTCCCTCAACAATTTCGGCACCCATTCTGCGTCGGTTATATTTTCTCTTCTCCCTAGGGATTCTCGAAACTCTCTCCTCCTTTTCTTTTCTTACTTGCCATTCCCCAGCTACCTCCTCACCGCTAAGCTTTATCTCAACCCACTGACCACCACCGTGCTGCTATTCCGTCTTTTCTTTGCACGCGGTAGTCACTAGTACGACATCCGCTTGCCTTAACACCAAGCCCTTGGCCCAGAACCTCCCAGTTCTCAGCTGCTGCCAACGAGCAATTTGTACATCCAAATGACCTGCTTTCGAACCATCGCGTCGTCCACCATGTCTCGTCTCTAACACGGCCTAGATCCTCTTGTACGGTAAGTGGCTAGTCCCGTGGGGCTTCTGCATTTCTTTGGTATTTATGGGCCGCATTTTCACCCTCTCGGCTTGTGACGATCTCCAGTTTTGCTGGTGAACTTTTCCTGCAATATGCCAGTCGGACATCTTCCAAGTTAGCACTGCCAAGGGAAGAACTCGTCAATGATATGCCTTTCCTTATCGTCCTGTTCTTCGATCAAACACCCCAACTTGTCTTCCAGCATTTCCGTGGTCCGACATCCTCGCTAACAAACGCTGTATTTTAGCCTCTTTTCGGTACTGGGCCTTACACACTGCTTGCCAGAGTGGGGCTTCCTTACCGTTTTTTATCATTTTTTTCTGGTCCGCTTCTCGTCGCCTCCCACCAGCGCGTCCGCTGAACGAACTGATTTCTTCCACTCCTCATTCGTCATCCGGCTTCTTCCTTAGTCCTCTTTCACGGGTACCCTCGACCACAGTCACCCATCTCTTCTGTCCCGTGTTCCTCTCTCTTCTTCCTTCTCCCTACCGTATTTGCTCTTCGACTTTATCTCTGCGACACATTGGAGAAACGACAACTTCTCTTTTCACCTCCAGCAGGTATCGCCTTTGTTTTTCAGTGCTCCGCTTCACCCAGAGCAAAGTTCGCATATTCTCGGCTTTGACCGCCTTCTTTACCGGCTACGATTTTTTTTTCTGCCCTGTTTGACGATATCGGAGGGTCCCAACTGTCTACGGAGTACAGCCAACCACAGTATCTGCCTTCCGAATTGATTTTCCAACAGTGCGTTTCTTGTATTAAGCTTCGTACACATCTTGCGCGTACGCTCTCTCCCCCTCGCGGCGACTTTGATCGTGCGCAGCGCCCGAAGCCGATCCCTTTTCGATTTCCTGCTCTTTTGCTCCGTCGTAGCCCACCCAGGGCCTGTGCACATCACTTTCGTCACTGTCTTTCGACATCCATTCATCAGACGGTTGATTCGCCCATTCTGCGACCCTTCTAATCGGTAGACTTGCAGTCTCGATCCCTCGTCCCGGCTTCATACTCGAAAATCTCCTCTCTAAGCCTCCTATTTTTCGCAAAATGGTCAAGAACATCGTCATTCTCGGTGGCAACTCCCACCCCCAGCTGGTTGATAATGTGTGCAACATTCTGGGTATCCCAGCCTGCAACCGCATCCTCTCCAAGTTCGAGGTCGGCGAGAGCCGCTGTGAGATCAAGGACTCCGTTCGCGGCAAGGATGTGTACATCATCCAGACCGGCAGCGGCTCGGTCAACGACAACTTTGTCGACCTGTGCATCATGATCTCGGCCTGCAAGACGGGGTCTGCCAGACGGGTCACGGCCGTCATGCCACTCTTCCCCTACTCGCGCCAACCTGACCTTCCATACAACAAGAACGGCGCCCCACTCTCCAAGGCCCCGACCTCAATATCGGGCACGCCGAGCAAAAAGGACGAATATACTTTTGAGAGCGTGCCTGCCACTCCAGCCCTGGACCGCCCTAGGTCGGCCGCTTTCACAACCTCGGCTGATCTGTCCAAGGCCCTCAGCAAAACTGCCATTTCCAATGGATCGGCCGCGCGGGCTAACGGATCCGCGAACGGCAACTCGGATTACTTCCGGCCGGGCACCTCTCACGGCGCAGCCGCCGCCGCCGGTCCCACATCAGCTGGCGGGCGCTCCACACCCACCCACGGCAAGCACGAGTCTGTCTCGTCACAAGCACCACCTTTTACGACACACGACTATGCCAACCACAACCTCATCAACAGCTTCCAGGCCAAGCCAGGATACAAGCAGTGGGTGGCACAGGCTGGCATTCTCATTGCCGATCTACTTACGTGTGCTGGCGCCGACCATGTCATCACCATGGATCTCCACGACCCGCAGTACCAGGGCTTCTTCGACGTTCCTGTCGACAACCTGTACGGCAAGCCGTTGCTGCAGCGGTATATACAGCAGGGCATACCGGACTACAAGGATGCTGTCATTGTCAGTCCCGATGCGGGTGGCGCGAAGCGCGCGACGGCCATTGCAGACAGCCTTGGCATGGACTTTGCTCTTATTCACAAGGTATGCGAAAGCGACAGAGGAAGCAATCAGGGTGTAGGACACGACACGTCTACTCGAAGTAGAAACTAATAATTTCCCAGGAACGTCGGCCTACGAAGATTACCGATCGCCAGAATGCCACAATGATGCTAGTAGGCAACGTCACAGGCCGTGTGTGCATCCTCGTTGACGATCTTGCAGACACGGCAAACACGATCACGCGTGCTGCAAAGCTACTCAAGAAGGAAGGCGCGACGTTCTGTTACGCGCTTCTGACGCACGGCGTCCTCAGTGGCGACGCGATTCCGCGCATCAATGCGTCCGCCCTCGACAAGATCATTGTTACCAACTCGGTGCCCCAGGACGAACACCGGGCCCTATGCAACAAACTCGAAGTGCTCGACATCTCGCCAGTGTTTGCGGAAGCCATCCGCCGCGTTCACCACGGTGAATCCATCTCCGTCCTCTTCCAGTACGACTGAAGCGGGAGGGTGTGAGTTGTGAATGGGTATAGTCAGTGCAGACGTCGAGAGTGTTGTTTTTTCTTGTACTTTGACAATGTCTGTTGCATCACACATACTTTATGTCTTTGTTTTTCAGTGGTTGGACTGCAATTTGCATCTACTTTTGTCCCTTTGCGCTGTTTAAGCTTTTCTTTTTTTTTAAAGAAACATTGGGCCAAAAAACCATGTCGTCTATTGCGCTCCGCAATAAGATCGAGTATATCAAGGGTGGCTTTTTATGTGATTTTGGCTGTTTATTGTTGCTTTCTTTATCGTTTGATCTACCTCTCATTTTTGTCTTTTCGCGATACTTATTATTCTCAGAAACCCAAACCTGTGGGTGAATTGGCTCTACAGACATGACGACTGGCGTTTAAATTATTGTTTTTTAAACACGAGGGCCGCCGAGCAGATGTGACCCGCCAGACGAGAAATGCCAAAACATGACAGTAGTGGCAAGGCAACATGCTATTACCGGCCGCAGGCAGCAGGCTGCTGGCGACGTGATGATGATAGTAAAACAAGGGGGAAATGGAAGACGGAAAACGGAAGACAGGCGGTATCTGACAAAGGTATGGCTTATGGCTTTTCGTCGGTCCATGCGGGACGATACAAATTGTCATGTTATACGCATATAGTAGAAGAATGCACACGTTGTGTGCAGCTCCTTCGTGGTTGAATAGCGGTGGGCAATCCTTGGAGCTGTGATACAAGTAGTTGTTGGTCATAGAATACATTCATGCGATCCTCACAGATCGTGGAGCTCTCAGATATATGACGGACGGGCGAAGGACCATACATGCCAGTGTCACATGCCAAAAAAAGTTTCGTCAACGGTGGTACATTTAGCTCAGCCCTACAGCCGCCTCCAACTGACTTCGGTGAGGCAAACGGTCGTAGTCTGTAATTACGTCTTTTGACAGGCTATGCGGGGCGGGGCTTGCAGGTGTGCTGCAGGTACAACAAGCGCTGCTTGCATTTGTACGTAATATGTGGGACATCCCGCGCGTTTTGAAAATACATGAAACATCACAAGCACGATCCGATCTGGCGATCTGAGACAATCACACCTCCTGCCCACCTGTCGTCTCTTGCACACGACATGGTAGGCTTGCACGCTCACCTACCACTGATTGCAGCGCCGACAACATCGTATAGCCTGCTCGTCGATGTCCACCACATTCCGGCTGCGAAGCTGTTACAGCCGTCGGTATAGATTGACGCAAGATACCCGCTACACGGCATCAATACAACGGGGACGCAGATACACGGGTCCAGCGATAAGGACGTGGACCTGGCATACCACATCCCATACACGATGGAGAGCTGCACGTACATTGCTATGGAGACAGTGGTGATCTCGACCTGTGGAAGGGCGTAGCAATAACATGGAAGAAGAGAAGATACCAAAACGTGATCTTTGTCATTTCACCAAAGTATATGACACTTTGTTATGAAGGCACGGGCGGCTAGGAGTATGTGCGTGACTTATCATACCAAGAACTCGGCAACCTATGGAACAGCCGAGTTGTACTCGTGCCGACAAAGGGCTACATATACGGCACACCAACCTCTTTCACGACTTGGAGAAAGAGACGCTGACGTCGCGGTACCATATCGAGGTTAAGGATAGCGACGTTAGTACTGTGCCGGTGCACAACATGACCAGCGCGGGACAACCCGCTCCACATCTGGTTTCGCGAGATGCTGTCGCTCCATCATGCGGCGCTCGAAGCCCAAATTTGACGCCGAGAGACCGACTATCCTATCCAGAATTACCCCCGGCCAGACCTACCGTACCAATGGCAATGAAACCCCAGCTGCCCATCAAATCCGATACTAAGCGGGACATGTTCGACCATATACGACCGCTATATATAACGGATATGGATGGGAAACTCGGTTGCGGGATGACGGCGTGTTTTTATAAGACGACGGGTTTATTTAAGGCGAGGAATTTTAAGAGTAACTGGAACGGACATCGTAATAGTGAGGTAGGATGTAGTGGTCGTGCCTTTAAACTGGTGTACTCTCCCCGTTTATTATTCTTTTCTTTATATTTTCTTTTTAAACTTTTAATAAAAAGGAAGAGAAAAGGATAAAGAGAAATGTCACGGATAATAAAAACGAGAAACGAAAAAAAGGAAAGTATAATAAAACGATAAGTAATATAACGATATAACGAAAAGAACCCGAAAACAGCGAAAATCTTACAATAAACTTTAAAACGAGACGTAAACGACACCCTGCGGAGCGGCGTACCCTCGACCCCGCCGCCTTGCCCGCCCTCCCCGCCGCCCTGCCCGCCGCCTGCGGCCCCCCGCCGGGGCCCCGGGCAAACCGGGCCCGGGGAGCACGCTGGGCCACCCAGATGGCCGAAACGGCCAGTCCCCGGGGCGCGAGGAATAAAACACGAAGAATCCCGACAACCAAAAATAGCCCAAGTCTAGAAAAATGGGGGTAGGGCGGTTACGTTTTCCACCCACCTTGGCCGTCTCCGCGGATTTCGGCCCA